TATTTATTTCAATTCTTGTATAAATTCAATTTGATTGTAATAGATTAATTAGGTTTATATTCTTGCAATCCCCATTTACAATTTGTATACCCCCCTCCCACAAATATAGCGTAGTAACTTTAAATTCCGCAATTTATCGCTTTATATATAACATGCTAGTAATTAGGGTTTGTATGGAAAGACTAAAACCAATACTTAGAAAACCCTAATTCAAAACAAAATCAAGCATGAAAACAATACACTTGCACACAAGCACCCCCTAGGGTAAATCCACTTGGTTGCCTTTACAAAATGGACATATTACGCATGTAAGATATCTTAGCAAAAACAAGAAAATACAAGATTATTGTCCCTCGATGACGCTATCTAAGTTGCCTTTCAAATGATCTTAGTCCCTAAAAAAAATGCTAAGATACCTTGCAACATTGCTAATCATGGTTATACGATGACCCACGCCCGTCCCGTTTACATCCAAAGATAGGGTTACTTATCAAATCAATCGTAAGATAGCAATGTCAAAGGAAAAGAACATGAACAAGAAAGACTTTTGAGTAGGTAGAATGCTCCTAATTACTTGCTCCATTTCAAAACAAACATCCTTGCTATTTTCAAAACAAACACCCACACTTTCAAAACATCTTACAAACTTGAAAATATTTTCAAAAGATCAAACACTTTGTATACATTCTTACGAACGAGAATCATTACAAAGTTTGCCTAAACAATGGTCTCTTTACAAAATACTTTCAAAAACCACACAAAGCACAATTTCAAACAAAAAGCAAGTGATCTAGCAAGTAACTAAGAGCCCATGGAAAACCATGGATGAAAAGGGTGCTAATACCTTCCCTTTTCATAATCTACCCCCCGAACTCAAGAAATAAATCTCAAAGGTCTTTCCTGTGCTTTTTTACCTTTCCTTTTGGATAAAAGAAAAGTCGGTGACGACTCTTGCTAATCGCAACATTTGCGATCAAACGCAAAACCTCCAAGTCAGTTCTCCTACCGTATCACAACTGCGGTCAACTCTGCCAGTGTCGGTCTCCCTAGGATGCAGCTGTAGATAGACGGACAGTCATGACCAGGAAGCGCACCTTGACTTGCCAGGTGGCGGTATCTTCTCCAAAGGTGACCATGAGCTCCACGTACCCCCATGCCTTGGAGGTCGAGCTGTTAAAGCCCTGCAGGTCGGACCCCACGTATGGTGAAAGGTGAGAGTCGTCGAGCTGCAAAGTTTTGAAGAGCTGGGTGTACATCACGTCGACAGAACTTCCCTCGTCGACCAAGACACGATGAACATCAAAGTTAGTCATTCTCGCCCTGGTGAGAAGAGGGGTGACTGAATTGGGGGCCCCTTCGGGCAACTCCTCGAGGTAAAAGGTAATTGGCTTTAATCTTCCCTTTACCCTCTCGAAAGTCACCGTTTGAGGGGGGCCGCGTCGACCAGTTCGTTCAACTTCCTCTTTGTTGAATTTATAGTTATGTCATTGAACCCTCCACCATTTATGACCATGGCGGAGGGGAAGCTTTCCCACCTGTTGTGCGTGGACAGAGGCTCTTCCATATGTTCGGGGACGTAGAAGTCCTCCGGTCTCGTAACGGAGAATGCGGTCTGGATGGGAACCGACTCATCAGGTGGTCGGGCATCCTCCTCTATCTCCCTTGTTTCGCAGGCATCTCGATGGGGGGGGGGGGGGGGGGGGCGTCGCGACGATATTTTCAGAGTCTTCCCCTTTTATGAGGGTCTCAATAGCATCCTTGAGATGGATACAATCTTCAGTCAAGTGTCCATGGCTGCGATGATATTGGAAGTATTTGCTCCGATCTGCTCTGGGCTTAGCATGAGTGGGACAAGGATGCTTGACGCCGCCGTCCCTGAAATCTGTGTTCGCACACTCCGCCAAAATGCGCTCGCGGGAAGTCGTTAATAGAGTGTACTCAATAAATTGCCCCGAGGGTCCTCTTTGCTCATGAAGGTCTCGGAGATTGTCATCCTTCCTCTTCTTGCTAGTTCGTCGAGGAGGGTCGGAGTCTTGTTGTCGCGGATTGTTGGTTGATCCACGATTCCTGGGGTCCCGGGCTCTATTGGTCGCTTCCCTCTCCTCGTAGTCCATGTATGCTCTGGCTTTCTCGAGGAGTGCATCGAATGTCCGGGGTGGTTCGATTCCAACAACATTTCTGAACTCCATGCTCGGGAAGAGTCCCCTCTCGAGCAGGTATCTCTTCATGTGATCGGTGCAGAAAACCTGGATGGATTTCCGGTTGAACCGATCAATAAATTCCTTGAGAGTCTCGTCGTGTCTCTGGATGATAGCCACGAGGGCTACTTCATTCTTTGGGTGCCGACGTGAAGCGGTAAACGAACTGATGAACTGGTTCTTTAAATTTTGCCAGGAGGTAATTGACCCCGGGGCGAGACTCTTGTACCAGTCCATCGCAGCTTTCCTTAAAGTTGTGGGGAACAACCGACATTTGATTGGTCCCCCGACATTATGATAATGCAGCATTGCCTCGAACCCGTCTATGTGGTCCACCAGGTCGGCACCGTCGTACTCCTTCAGATGGGGAGGCTTCTCCATGCCCAGGGGAATGGGTGCTTCCATGATGGCTTGTGACAAGGGACCGCGGGGGTCGTCTTCGTCACTCCTATCTGGCGAGTGAGAAGGAGATCTGTTGTAGTGGTGGTTATGGCGGCCCTGGTCACGCAGAGTGTTCCTCGGGCGGTACGATCGTTCGTTATTTCCCCTGCTTCTGTCTCCAGGGGGTCTTTGCTCTTTACGCGACGGGATATGGTCGCGTTTCCCCGTGTCGACGGGCTGGTCCCTCTCCAATGTGGGACGTCGCTCGATTGATTGGGGAAAGGGACTTCGAGAGGCGTCCCACCTACGTCTCTGCGGGGGAGATTGGATACGTTCCTCTACTGGCGAGGAGGGGGAGAATGGGGCCTCATATGTCTCCTGGGGGCTCTTCGAGCGCCCTTAACCTCTCTCCTTGAGAGAAGATCAAATAATTTGTCTGGTTTATCGCCGCGAACAGTGCCCTAGTCGTGGCGTCTGCTCCGACGGGAACGGGGACCTCCAGAAACTGGTTGGGTTGGTGGTTTTGAGGAAGTGGTCGATCGTCTTCAAATCGTCGAGATAGTTATGGTCCGCAGTACCAGCGTTGTCGATGTCGGAATTATTATCAGTGACGTTGTTGTTGACGTCGACGATGCAGACATTCATGTTGTTTTTTGCTGTTTGATCAACCATGACAGACGAAAGAGTGATTTAGCTTTAGTCTTGAGTAAACGGAAGACGGGGAAGCAAGTTTCTCACAAACGACGCCACTGATCGTACCTGATCAGAATGGACCGTCACAGCTAACTCGAGCAGAAGTTGAGTGAGGTGGGGGCACCTGTAAGACACTCTGATGCCAAAGTAAGTTGCGGAATGAGCAAGCAAGCGTGAGAGTTAGAAAGTGTTGAATACCTGACCCTCTTAAAAGAGAGGATATTTATAGTCCACAGCGCTGGGCCAAGGTCTCTTCATTGAGTTGGTCAAGCAGACCCAACATAGGGATTGTCAGGTCCTACGTGAGTACTGGAGACCTGCACGTGATCCCCTACCTAGACGACGTCCTCCGCAAGATAATGAGGATATGGATGCAATCTTTCCGGGCCACGAAGGCTCCGTGATATCCGGAGACGTTGGTAGTCAGCTCTACGAGAAGGATGCTCGGGAGGGGCATCTGCCCGTTCTTGATCAGTGAATATTGCATTGTTGTGAAAGGAAACAAAATAAAAAATGGAACACGATCAAACATAAAATCATAAAAAGAACAATTGAAATACAAGGAACAAAATAAAAAATGGAACACAGATCAAACATAAAATTTAAAATATGGAACAATTGAAATACAACCGACATAAACGCATTCACCAAAGTTGAAAAGGAAGAGGTTTCGTTCCCCAGAGGTTCCCTTGTTCACTGGTTAGATCGATTTGAGATTTTTGATGGAATGGAGAATAATGTAGGTTAGGGTTGAGATTAAGAGAGAAGAACCGAGAATAGCTTAGGTTAAGGTTTTGCAATCCATTGAGATTGAGAGAGAAGAACAAACAATCATTTACTTTGGATTTAGTAATCGATTGAGAGAGAAGAACAGAGGATTGTTAGATTAGGGTTTGGGCTTCACACATGGATTTTTATTTGGTTGTGGTTACCCACCCATTTAAGTATGGGTGTCCAATTAATTTTAAAAATGGATTGGTTTAAAAACCAAAATAAAATTAACCGGTTTTTAAAAACTCGATCCGGATATCGTTATGAATAAACCATCAAATTCAAACTGATTAATTTGAGTATCCCTACATAATAATATAAACATTAAATAATCAAAATAGCTCCTATTGAGGAAAAAATATTCTCTCAGTTTCAAAATGAATGTCATTTAAGGTTTTTGCACATAAATTAAAGAATGTAATGATGTTGTCATAAAACATCATTCCCTCCGTTTCAAAATAACTGTCATTTTAGCAAACAAATTTTGTTTCAAAATGAGTGTCGTTTTCATTTTTCAATGTAGTAATGATTACTATTTTTCCAATTGTGTCATTTACTTTTTACTCTCTACACTACTTCAAATACATTAATAGGGTTAATTTTGTAAAAGTGTAATGTCTTATGACAACATCATTACATTTCTTAATTTGGGTCCAAAAACCTTTAACGACATACATTTTGAAACGGAGGGAGTATATTTTTACAAAAGTAACCCAATTAATGTATTGAAAATAGTGTAGAGAGTAAAAAAATAAATGGTACAATTGAAAAAATAGTAATCATTACTACATTGAAACGTTAAAATGACAGTCTTTTTGAAATAAAATTTATTTGCTAAAATGACAATCATTTTGAAACGGGAGGAGTTTATATACCTAAAGGTAAATGTCAACACTCACCACCAAAAAATTTATCAACAAAATAAGGAAAAATTGTATATTATATCAGCTTTCAAATTCAACTGTCTTCCTCTGCAGTGCGACTTTGAATTTCAGAATCAGGTGATAATTTAAACTTGAGAACCTTATGAAGCTGACATACAGGTTTGAGTTGCTTTGTTGGAGGTTGGCTTGAATCAATTAGTTTTCTTCCAGAAAAAAGATTCGCTTCAGATGGTCCAGTCTCTTCATGAACCACTGGTGTATCTGCACAATGAAAGCTAATTGATCAAACAACATATTTTAAATAGTCCTAATAAGTAGGAATCAAAATGATATTAAAAATAATTTGATACAATGCTTCCTAACATGTCTTCCATATTGTTACAATATTATGACTCCGATGACCGATACCATGTGAGAAAAGTTGACAGAGGTCATAAAAGAGAGAAAAGATACATGGATCATAAAATGAAATTGTATCGAAAATGAGAAATCATGTTTACATGAAGGAGTTGCATCAATTACATAGATACCAAGTGAGCAACTAACTACTAACTAATTAACCTGTAACACACATGGATGTTGAAAATGATTAACGGTTGACTATGATTCTAGCCACGACTAATTCACAATTTAGTTGGCAGCTAAAAAAAATTAGAAGCAGAGTATGTTCCTAATAAACTGAAACAAATACAAGTGTTCATATTTTTGAGTCTGCTTGAAACTTTAACAACAGCAAGGATGGAAGAGGAGCAACTCAAGTGAACCGTAGCTACATAAACTATGATTACAAGTATACTAATCATTACTAGGAAATATTGAAAAACAATATACAAGTAAGAAACAATGACACTTATCGAAAACAATATTCAAGTAAGAAACAATGACACTTCATTCTCAACGAAAACATGAACACAAATACATTAAATCCATAACTTTAAGGAAGTGTGTGGTGAAGCATCATCAGCTTTTGAAAATCAGTTATCACTTGGAAGGAAACAGGTATAAATAAAAATATCACTTTTTCACAACTAAGAGGCAGTTTAGGTAGGAGTAGGACTAGGTTAAGCGGCAAAACCTATTGTGTAATGAGAATGACACAACTAATATCACTTCGAAGGAAAAATATTGTCTAGGAGGTTAAAAGCCAAAATTGCATTAAAAGCATCATGACAATTTTTCAGTCACCTGTGTTTTCTTTGATGACACTAATAACCTCAAAATGAATTGTATACTTAGATTAGGTGCTATTTTATATTAATCTGACAGTGTTTATGTGTGGCTTATTCAAGCGTAGCCTATCAGAGTTTCTATAACATAATTTCCAAGACCTAATATTTTTCTTCAGAAGAGTATTATGCATCCATGAAATGTAACTCACCTTGTTCTTCAAATGCGATACATGTTCCAATTGTCTCATCGTATTCACCAATCTGTAGACAACAATGACCCATAACAACACTTAAATCACTGCATCTAAATATCTTCCAAAGGATTCAGATGAAATCATTTAGCACTTAACCAAATATTTCAATTCGTCAAATTGCAAAAAAACCATGGAATTTTGAAGTAGGAAACTTACCAGCTTAAATTTGTCAGCAATGATCAGTTCTGGGTTTAAAGTATCAAGACCCTGTAATTAACAATGATGTGATAATAAGTTGATAACTAGACAAAAATTGAATAACAATTATGAAGAATTTCATGAGGAGAGGATTGGGAAGTTACCCTAAGAACATAGTTAGCATTAGGTGGAATATCAATTAGGCCATAAACACCATCCAAATCAAGCAAAACAAATTCATCTTGATCCTCATGATTATCATGTGGTGTTGCATTTGCCTCCATATTCCTATATGTATGTATGTGTTGAAATTTTGAAGTGAAAATTGACGGATAATGCAAAACCTAATCTCGCATAATGAATGAGACATACCGTGAATGAGATAGACGCTAGCAGGAGAGAGAATGCGACCACCGGAGAGGAATGCGTCCACCGGAGAGGAATGCGACCGCCGGGGCTTTGTCCGGTAGAGAGATCAGATGCCGGATAGAGTTTAGAGAAGAGAACGCCTGAGTACCGGAGTGGCTAAGAAAGTGATTTTGAAGTTTGAAATCAATTCTAGGGGAAGCAATTATTACTAGCTTTCACTTATGACTGAAATATTTTCAATGAAACGAATTGATACCGACTGGCGCATGGGTTTCTGATTCTGATTTTGAAGAAAACCCCTTATTTTTGGGGATAATCTTTTCACCTTATGAGTTATTCCAAGAAAAGGCTAAAATGTTTGTGACGTATGTATCTCCAGACTTATTTATTTTAATTATTTCTCGTATCAGATTGAAGAGATATTACTTTTATATTAAAATTTAATATATAAAATTTAATTTGAAAATGTATTTTCGTAGGTAAAAAATGTGTTTGAAGATGTATTTTTTTTCTTTATTTTTTTAAAAAATTTCAAAAAAACTCATTTGAAATTTGCTATGATTTTATTTCTTATCTATTCATTTAAACTTATATCATTGGAACTCTTTCTCCTCTTTTTCAACATCTCATAACATCTAAATTTCTCATTCTCATCAATCAATTTCATTTGGTAAATTTTTTAAACTTTGTTATCTTTTTATGTTTTGATTTATAGTTAGTATTTTAAGTTACATTAGACAATAGTTTAAACGAAATTGATCGGATAGAAGAATGTACATTAAGTATTTTTGAGACTGATAGGGCAGAAAACGAGTTTCGGTCATGGGAGGAAAATCGCATGTTTGTTCGGAGATGCATTTCCAGATTTTCTCTACATAGTTTTTGGAGATACATCTTCGGATTTTACTCAACCAAAAAATTTGGTGATTTTCAGAAATTTGTGAAAAATAATACTGGTTGAATTAGGGTCGAATTAGGCTCGGACGTGTTCCAAATTGCATCGGTACGATGAGAGAGGATCGTGGCAGCGAGAACCACGAAGCAACGACTTACTAATAACTCGTTTGATGGTGCATCTACTTCGCAGCCCCGACCGTCTAGTTCTTGTAGCCGACTCTATCAACTCGTTTGATGGTGCATCTACTTCGCAGCCTCGGCCGTCTGGTTCTTGTAGTCGACTCTATCAGGCATCTCAGGCATATGATGCAGCAGAATCAGAGGTTCTTGAAACCCCTGTTGACTCTGAAGCCTAGGAGGAAGACGTTGTCGATCCGGATGCCCTATTAGAAAGTTACTCAGGAGGGTCATTTGACACCTTCTTACTTCATCATTATGCAGACATGATGCTAGGCATGTCTGGTATCGAGAGATATATTTCTTTTCTTTTGTAATACATATGTTGTGACAACATATAAAATCCATACTTATGATTATATTTCTTTTTTACATGACGGTTTATATTTTGTTCTATATGTGACCATAAATCACAACATGCATGCGACTTTTGCAGAGAGGTGGCACTTAGAAACGACATAGTTCCACCTACCTATAGGCGATATGATCACCACCGTAGATGACGTCTCATACCTCGTGCATCTTCCTATTATGGGAGATTACTGAACCATATGAGGATCAGTCGAGACGAAAGCGCCGACTTGATGGTCACCTATTTGGGAGCTGGCCCAACTGAGGTCGCACAGGAGACAAATGCTACTAGGGGTGCTTATGCTAGGTTTATTTTTATGGTAAAGCTTTATAAAAAACCATTTGTAGTGGTCCCTGGATGTCGTAGGCGATGGTGTGCAGGTTGAGTTCCATTGGCATTGCGCATTGAGGTGTTACCTCTTGTTCCTAGTTGACACGTCCATGTTTGTGGATAAAAGTGCAACCTATGTCAATGTGATTTACCTTAAGTACTTTGTTGATCTGACTTTGATTCACGGGTACAACTAGAAGGTCGCCTGTTTAGTGTACCTGCACTCGAAACTGGGCGAGATTGTCTTTGGAATACAAAGCAGATGACCGGGTGATGCACTCTTCTTACAGTAATTTCTTGTTAATAACTATTTCATAATTCATTTGTTACACTTGTTACTAATAATTTCATCTGAACCATTTTCAGAGATGAATCATCTCTCACTTCACTCGTATTACCGAGTAGAAAATTTCGTCTGACTACGATGTGATCAGTGCATATTGATGCACATTTTCTTATGTTTGTACTTAGGCATTTCCATGGTTTGTTTTGTTTATTTTTCTATTTTATAATGTTTTTATAATTTAGTTTATTTTTACCTTTAATTGATTTTCGTGTTTTATTTTCAGCATTAGCAGTTTTCAATAAAAAAAAATCATAACTGGAGCTTCGGGAATCAGATTGATGCGTTCTAATATTCATCGTAAAGATAAGAGAAAGATATACAACTTTCATGTTGAAGTCAAAAGCTGATTCAGCCTGCATAAGTTCCAGTAATTTGTTGAAGTTTTAGACGTTATAAAATAATCTGTTTCGGGTCGTTTTATGGGCCTGGTTAATGTTTCTGACCCAGTTTGACTTAGTAGTGAAAAACCCTATTTTGTTTATAAGGTTTTCAGCCGTGCTACAGTAGAAAAAACCTTTTTATTTTCATGATAGAACTTTTGCTTTGTACGAATCTTATGGAGAGCTAAATTTCCTCTGAGTTGATCTGCTACATTCATGTTCCGATACTTGAGGTTAATATAATTTTGCAATTTAATTCCTATTCCTTTCAACTCTATTATATGTTCATCGTTTGCTTAATCTGATTGTCATAAAATAGTTTTGTTTGGTTCGATTGATTTATGTTCTCTAATTTTCATTGCGTGTTATCGTTTGCTTAATTCGTTAATTTGCTTATTTTTAACCGTTTGCTTAATTCGGTAAACAGGAAATATAATTCTTATAATATCATTCTCGCTTGTTGAATGTTATTGTGATCGAACAAGAATAGTGCCCGCTTAGGGAAGCGATGTTATAATAATCAATGATAGGTATGAACTGAATTAGCAGATTAGCTTATTTTGATAATCACTTATTTCGTGTTATAAATCGATCCTAAAACCAACCCCCCATTCGATTTCTATTAGTTAATAATAAAATCAAGAATCCTTGCGATACGACTCGAGCCATTGTCGCTATACTGCATTTTACAAAATACTCGTTTTTGATCCGCCCGCGACAGCGGATCAAAATTGGCGTCGTTGTCGGGGAATTCTTGTTTTTATTAACTGATATTATAGCCATAGGTTTAGTGTTCTTGTTATTTTTTTTCTTGGTTTTTTTTTTGTTGTTTTGTTGTGTTTGTTGATTTTCAGGATTGCAATTCCGATTGCAGTACAGTTTTTTAACCTGTCAGGTAAGTTTAGAAGTTATTGTTTCGATTTGCTTCGAATTTTTTCCCCAAAGTCAGCAAAAAATCGGTGAACATTAATCTTTTAGAATGGAATTCTAAAAGAATTTGACCCTTAAAATCGAAAATTCATTTTTTTCTATTTTTAAATAATTTTTTTACTGTTTTCATAGTGTTTGAAAAAATCCAAAAAAAATCTCAAAATTCTTATTTTGCTTCATTAGATTAAATTTTATATTTTTGTATTTTTTTGAATTTATTTTAATCGTTTTATTTCTTTCTATTTGTTTCTGCCTATTTGGGACATAATTGATATTTTTGTGTTTATTGATAACATGGCTGAACAAAGAACTTTGAGGCAGTTGGTTGGCCTTGATGTGAGCTATAATGGTTTATGTATTGACTATCCTGCAACTGATACATTTTTTGAATCAAAATCTGATTTAATACACTTGTTGTCAAAACTTAATAGTCTTACAGGTGAGGATCCGCATAAGCATCTGAAGGAATTTCAGGTTGTGTGCTCAGAACCTTCTGAACCTTCGCTAGAGGATATTGTCAAACAAATGGCTGCAAATAATCTCCAGTATGAACAACAAATAGATTCTACTCTCCAGACTTTGCAAACACAGATTAAACAACTTGCCTCTTTGATGAATATCATGCAACAAGCTCAAGGATCTAACCAACAACCCTTGGAAGAGAATTCTGTTTTTCTAATAGAGTTGCTTTCTGAGACTGTTGATGATACTTGTATTGATTTATTTGCAGCTGATTTTCCATCATTATCTGATTTTGATGATGTTTACTCTTGTGATGTTTGTACTGATATTAAAATTTGCTCTGTTTGTGCTGAAATTGAGGCCGCCTTGCAAGTTGATATTCTTACTGCATATGAGGTTGCAAATGAAGTTGTTCATGTGGAAGAAGCTCTCCATACTCCAGCTGCTCGAAACAAACCATCCATTAAACAACCACCTTTCCGAGAGCTGAAACTAATTCTTGAAAATCTTAATTATGCTTATCTAGAGATGAATGAAAAACTCCCAGTTATAATTTCTTCTAAATTTTATTTTGATCAAGAAAGTAAATTTTTGCAGGTTTTGAAGAAGTATAAGAAAGGAATTGGATGGACCTTAGATGATATTTATGATATTAGTCCATCCATGTGCATGCATAGGATCTCACTTAAAGATGTAGCAAAAGCAGTGAGGCAGCCCCGTAACCTTTTGATCCTTGATGTTGTGAAAGATGAGATCACGTTCACGTGCCTATTTGATACTTTTACTTTTAGAAGAACATTCTTTGATCCAGGAATAAAAAGTGAAGGTACTGATAAAAATTGCAAAGTCAAAGGACACCGCCTCAAGCTATTCCATGAGAGTCCCACGTTGGAAGAGGAAACTATAAAAGTACTCTCGTTGGAAAAGGCTACTTATGCGACCATCTATCCGCCTTGACTTCTCGGGCGTGTTCTTTCCTCTCTCTCATCTCTCTTATTTTATGCTTGTTTCTTTCAATGAGGACAATGTGTGTTTTAAGTATGGGGGAGAGAATTATTTATTTGTTTTGTTTTCTTTACTTTTGTTCGTTGTTTTATTTTCAGTTATAAAAAAATAAAAAGTATGCATCTTTTTGAAAGTTTTGGGTTATAGATTAATATGAGGTTAGTTGTGGAGACTTGGGAAAAGTTCACAAGATCGGTACCATCTTAACACTGTAAGTCTCATGCATATGGAAGTTAATTTGAATTTTTATTATGACGTAGCCTTGAATTCTCATCTTTTAATAGCTCTTGAGTAGTTTATTTTAGCAGTCAACATTATCTCACGCGCACTATACGCAGGGAAGCCGATGAAAATAAGTGAGTGATTCAAGTTTTATTTGGAAAAAAAGGAAAGAAAAAGGAACACGCCTTCTAAGTTTGGTGACCCTCACCCGGTCACTTAACCCAGCGGTCATAGAACCTACAAAAAAAAGTTGATAATAAGACTCGTTGTTAGTTGGTTCAGCGGTTTCTGGTGCTGAACTTGGTAGGGCGGATTACGGTCCGATCCCCCCGCAACTACAACTGAGTAAGCAAAGGGTTATGCCACGTAAGTACCAGAACCCCGTGCAAAAAGGATCAGAGTCACTAACCGATCGCCTTGCTATGAGTGTGTGGAGATAACAGGCTTAATGTGATTGTGCCAGAATGAAAGAGAGCAAAAAGGAGGATGAGTAAGTTAGGCTTTGGCATAATAACATGACTCGAATTGGTTTGTATATTCAAGAGTTTGTAGCCTAGAATGAGTAGCTGATGATGCTGTTGTGTTTCTTTTGATTTTATTTTGCTCTGAGTGTAAAAGTTTAAGTGTGGGGGAATTTGATCAGTGCATATTGATGCACATTTTCTTATGTTTGTACTTAGGCATTTCCATGATTTGTTTTGTTTATTTTTCTATTTTATAATGTTTTTATAATTTAGTTTATTTTTACCTTTAATTGATTTTCGTATTTTATTTTCAGCATTAGCAGTTTTCAATAAAAAAATCATAACTGAAGCTTTGGGAATCGGATTGATGCATTCTAATATTCGTCGGAAAGCTAAGAGAAATATCTACAATTTTAATGTTGGAGTCAAAAGCTGATTCAACCTGCATAAGTTCCAGTAATTCGTTGAAGTTTCAGACGTTAGAAAATAATCTGTTTCGGATCGTTTTATGGGTCTGGTTAATGTTTCTGACCCAGTTTAACTTAGTAGTGAAAAACCCTATTTTGTTTATAAGGTTTTCAGCCGTGCTACAGTAGAAAAAACCTTTTTATTTTCCCAATAGAACTTTTGTTTTGTACGAATTTTATGGAGAGCTAAATTTCCTCTGAGTTGATCTGCTACATTCATGTTCTGATACTTGAGGTTAATATAATTTTGCAATTTAATTCCTATTCCTTTCAACTCTATTATATGTTTATCGTTTGCTTAATCTGATTGTCATAAAATAGTTTTGTTTGGTTCGATTGATTTATGTTCTCTAATTTTCATTGCGTGTTATCGTTTGCTTAATTCGTTAATTCGCTTATTTTAACCGTTTGCTTAATTCGGTAAACAGGAAACATAATTCTTATAATATCATTCTCGCTTGTTGAATGTTATTGTGATCGAACAGGAATAGTACCCGCTTAGGACAGCGATGTTACAATAATCAATGATAGGTAGAAACTGAATTAGCAGATTAACTTATTTTGATAATCACTTATTTCGTGTTATAAATCGATCCTAAAACCAACCCCCATTCAATTTCTATTAGTTAATAATAAAATCAAGAATCCTTGCGATACAACTCGAGTCATTGTCGTTATACTGCATTTTACAAAATACTCGTTTTTGATTCGCCCGCGACAGCGGATCACGATGAAAACTAGCCACGTGCAGCCGCATTTGTTTCATACAAGGGAAATAGTGCGGTCGAGTCATTCAGAGTCTCTCTTGACCATATAACAACAAATGACATTTGTTTCTGCCCATTCGAGGGTCACCGCCATACACGTTTGTTTGATGTCATCTCTTTATACTCTAAATGACTGGCATGTGGGTCATCTCTTATGTATCCTTATTTGTCAGAGCGAGCGATGCACCAGTTTAACTACTTGCAGATCATTCTAAGACCTTCCTATGAGGTCGCTCATCTCGACGTCCACCTTAGAGATCTTGGTGTTATACTGGATAATTTCGAGAATTACCTAGTACAAGAGGAGTATCGTTGGGAGTCCACTCATGTACACTAGGCTTATGTTGAGGGCTACATGACATGGTTTTATACAGTGTCACACTCTATCATGACACTAGACGCTATTGGAGGACCACCTAGACCAACTAACCTAGAGGTACTTGACGTTCAGGATGAGCAAACCGAGAGCTTGACGATAATGTTATCTCCTTGTTGCGAAGATGGGTAGAGAAGTCATAGAGGCAAGACTCTTTGAAGATGACACTCCTAAGTTGACCCACGTGGAGATCATGGTTGTCGAGTTACAAAATGATGTACAATATAGACGACAGAGGAGGCATGGGATTAAACATATCCAGTAGTTAGTTTATATTTGGATGTTTTACTTTTTTTATATTTTCGAACAAATGTTATATATTGTATTATGTTTTGAATTAATGTATGACTATTTATTTTCATTTAACTTCATTTTACATTGATTTTACTATAATATAAATTAGCTGCAAAAAATTACGATGCTGAGACAATGGTGCTGCTCTGAAGTGATTCAGAGGGATTTCTAAAGATGCATCTCCAAAATAAATCACCCTTCCAACACCTTTTAAAGAACTTCAAAATATTTCAAAGATAAATCTCTAAATACACCCAAAATAACATACAAAGATGTATCTCTGAATCATATTAATTCAAAATGAGATGGACCTCAAAATAGCACAATTTACTGAAATTTTAGTGCGTCTAGAGATGCATCCCCAAACGCACGTAGAACAATTATGACTTTTCAAATATGTGATATGCACATATAAAAAGAGTGGAAAGTGTCCCTCAAATAATCAAGTTAAATCACAACTTCAAGTTTTAATATATTTTAATCAAACAAATATGATTCATCAATTGCTTAACAAGTCAAGTCTAAATTATTTAGAAAGAATTCAACTCGGTTACACTCCCAAGCCTAATTCAAGCCATCAAAACTAACTTATAAAACTAGAACCACCCCTACTTATAATCATCATGTGAATCATGTCACACTATCTAACCTGAGACTCAGACAAAAATACAATGAGTTACCACGTTTAAAAAATGAGGACTCAATTAAAATATAAAGATATGTTTGTATTACAATTACAACCTCCATACAGATACACATACACTCTCCCTTTGTATACACATACACAATAATCAAGTCATGCATATTAAGGCACCAATAAATACAAAAGCTTTAAATATAAAAAATCAAATTAAATTACAGCTTTAGTTCATGTCCGAGAATAATACTTTCACAAAATATATAAAAAGTAAACTACTACTCTGGCAATTTGTCCTTCAAATATTGCAGAATAGCTTTAGTTCCTTTATTCAAGACAGGCCTCCGAATGCTGAAACAAATAAAAAAACATTGTGATGATTTTATTAACCAAGCTTTCCAGAAGATCTAGCTGATGTATATGCTTTGTTTATGTTTAATTCTTTTTTGAAATCTTGGTATCCGGCCTTGTGACCGACTTGTTTATGTTTAATTAGAGAATCATTGTAGCTCCGTCTACTTCAAGGAATACAAAATTGATAATGCTTGAGTTCCAAGAAAGGGGCATAATCTTTAAAAGTTTACTTATTGACAATGATATTTATGTCAATCTTTCTGCTTTAGAAAATGGTAAGTTCTAAAGTGCACTTGAGAATCCAAACTATTGTCACAAAGTTCATAGAAAAGCGGAGCAGGAGGAAGTCACCTTCTAAGTGGGTTCCCATCAAGTCTCAATGCCTGAAGGCTTGGTTCCAGTAGACCCTGATTAAAGTAAATGAGTAATCAGAGCAAAGTAAACAAGCCACGACTAATGCATATGAAAAAAATGACAGCATTGAGTAGGATAAAATAACTGTCATATGCTTTTTTTTTTTCTTTTCTTGTTTTTAAGAGTTTCACACACCAAACATCATTGAGATGTATAGCATATTTCTATATGTTCAAATTTGTATGAAACATAATCATTTTAGAAAGGAAAAGAAAAAGTTAAATGAGAGAGCGGTGTTTGTTTCTGACCAGCTCGGGTGGAAGGGCAGAGATGTTGTTATCGGATAGGTCAAGCTCCACTAGAGAGGTGCTATTTTTTAGCCCCTGAAAGAAGATGAAAGGTGAGCAAAGCATAAGAAATCAAAAAGGACCAATAGAAAAATATACTATTTTAAAAATAGATCATTCATCTATAAAAAACATGTTTTAAGAGTTGAGATTGCCTCCGTGTGTGAATAACTTAACCCTCAGTGGTCAACTATACATGTAAGTCTTCTTTTTAATCACTAATCTTTTGACAAAATATGGTTCAGAATTCAGGTAAATAATGAGCTGTGACATCTTTCTTCAACCAGCATTCTATAGTAGACAGAAACCCGATATAAGTAGGGATGTCAATTTGAATCTGTTAACAGAAATCCCCGTAGAGATTATCTGTTTGGAGCTCCGAAGATGGGGATTTTATCCCTTGCGGGGATGAGGATGGAGGGAAAAATTCCCCCAATAACACTTTGGGACGGGGATTGGGAAAGTACCTTCCGCCCCGCGGATTCCCCGACCCCGACTATATTCTTTAACTTTTATATATAATTATAGAATTTTACATGTTTTTTTATAAAAAGTAATTAATATATTAGGATGAAGAGTCATCAACGAATAATTGCTTTGAAATTAGCGATTATCATCCAATTCTATTTTGCTATGCATTGTGGGATATTTATGAGCATTTTTTTATAGATATTTGACAATTTTAATTTTCTATTTTTTATATGCATTATGATATATTTAGGTCATGAGTTTTTGTATGATTATGCATGGTAACAACATGTTTTGTTGGATCTTTATTATTTTGAAGTAAAAAGAAATATTAACAATTGCAAACACTTTTGCATTTTTGTTTGCTATTGATGCAAATACTTTTGCATTTTTGTTTGTTATGAATGCAAGATATGTTTTTATTTTTTTTAAAGAAAGATGCAAAATATATAACATTTTTTTTATAAAGAAAATGAAAAAATAACGTAATACTAGTGTCATAGTTTTGATCGAAAAGTATAAAAAATTTCTTAAGACTCGATATTCGTGGATCTCCGTGGAAACTGTGAAGATCCGTGGGGATGGGGACAAATTTCCCCCCGTGACGGGGATTGGGGATGGGGAAAATACTGGGGTGGGGTGGGGTGGGGTGGGGCGGGGTGGGGTGGGGTGGGGCGGGGCGGGGTGGGGCGGGGAGCGGGGAAGCATCTTCCGCACATCCCCTGCCCCGTTGACATCCCTAAATATAAGCTTGGATAGATCTGAATTTTCATAGGCATATATACAAAATGATGGACCTAAGATAAACTTAATGTCAAATTAAAATAAAAGCAAATTATCACAACTTTTCATAGGATCTGAATCGAAGAGGTAATATACATGCACAAGCCTAATCCATGTTTTTTATCACCAAAAAGAAGTTACCTCTGGAACCGATTGAAGGGAATTCTGACCCAAGTCAAGGATCCGTAGTTGATGCAATCCCAATATATCTGACGGAACTTCAGTTAGACCTGTTTTTCTGTGGAGTTGTAACATGAAAGTTAATTACAGGCTCCCAAGAAATAAAGGATATGAATTAACCGTACATGTGTGTGATGGAGTCTTATTGCACATCCTGCACTTTTCAACTAACTAACCTCAGGTAAAGCTCTTGCAGGTTTGGCAAACTAGAAAAAGCGGGACTGCCTAGTAATGAACTTGTGTTACCACTTAGATCCAGGATCTGAAGCTTAGGCAACACTTCAAAACCATTTGAAGGTATCTATCATTAAAGAGAAATATAAGGTCAGTGATACCACACTTTTGATTTGAATTTATAACAGAGAATAAAGCATACCCATATACATGTTTGATATTACCATTACAATCTACAAACAATATCTCTTATTTTTTCCTTTTTCTGGGGAAGGGATGAGAGTTGAGATACATTACCAGTAGCAACAGAGTATAGCTCTTTAAGCTATACAAAAAGCAATAACCTCCAGAAGGAGAATTATTTATATTGATTTTTCAAATTGGAAAAACCATATTAGTTTTTATTTGTTAAGCGTTATGTCCTGCAATGATTCTATATACATGCTGATACCATAATTCATTTTACAAGCAAAAGAACAGAGAAACTCCGAAACCATTAGTCATTACCTGTCTGAGGGGGTTGTAGTCCAGCTTCAAACAAGATAGACTCGAAAGTGATTGAAGAATTGAACCTGGCCAGTCTTTAATTTGATTCTTCGATAAAATCAATGTCTGGAAAGTGTAAACTATACAAATGAATTACTACTAGAAAAGTTTAAGTTGGACAGAAAATCAGTTTTAAGTGCTCCTTCCCAACCCCAAAGCTTGATCAATCAATAAATTATAATTATTTAAAGATGGAAACAAATAACCAAATAAGTAAAGTACTCCAAGCATGAAATTTAATTCAATGAAAATAATCACTCAACATAGATAAAAAGGTTTACCATATGGGAAATATTTTACTTTATACAATGAAAATCTGAAAATGATCAAGAAAGCACATCTTCCTTTTTCAAATTTAGTGGGATGTTAAGGGTCTTGACCACTGTTTTTGTTTAATATATTAGTGTACATAAAAAAAACCCAGCACATATAGAACTAACAAAGAACAACGTGCAAACAAATAATACTACAATTCTGAGAAAAAAATGAAACCATAAAGAGAAAATGGCTGAAAATTTTGTAATCATTTCACAAGGTCTTCAAAACTTACAAAAGGTCTTCAAAACTTACAAAAGGTGTGGCTATATTTTAGACATTTATTACTGCAGTGTTTAAATGTTCTAAGTTTCAAATGATCGAAATCGCTTATATCATTACTAGTCAACATAGTGAATCAGATCCTGTTATTGGGGAACTCGTATTAAGATGACAGCAGTGCCAATCAGTATCAGAAGATAATCATACTAACTTGTAAATCTTTTTTCATGAATTAAAACCAGACAGAAGATTTAACCTGGAGAGAAACACAAGAAGAAAGTTCAACTGGCAATTCCTGGATTGAGTTTTTGGAAAGATCAAGTTTTATGACCTCCTCTGATTCCCATACTTCTGATGGAATAGCACTCAACCCCAGTCCTCCCATAGAAAATTCCTGAACACAATTATTAATAGAGCTTCAATTAGCAAAGAAGCAAATTTTAGGCTAAATAAATGAATAGGAAAGACATACACGATAAAGAACAGGATTATCTGCATCAATTCAATCAATTGCAAAGTCCAAGTTGTCAAAGGTATATGGGTTCTCTAGTAAGTCTCTCATGTGATTGCATCATTATTCATTAGTTCATTAATTCATGGGTTCTCTAGTAAGTCTATCATGTGATTGCATTATTACTCATTAACTCACCCGCTGTCATCCTCACTATAATCAATTTAGATCTTAACCCCGTGATTGATAATAGACAAAAAGAGACTCAATATTTGTATATTTATCCCAAAAGGACTCTATAACTTGGTTTTGTTCTCTAGTCAATAATGAACATTGAGGGCGGGCCATGGCGCGCAACGGTAAGTTAGCTTGGCATGTGAAATATTGGAAACAACCTCCTCGCTTGCAAGAGGTAAGGTTGCATAGATCTTCCCTACTCAGGCCCCATTCAGTTGGAGCTTCGTGCACTGGCTGCCCTTAAGTCTCTGTTGAACACATGGTTGCTACGTTTCCTGCCTCTAGCCTCTCTCATTCAACACGGTATCTAGAGTTTGTCATAGATAACCTTAAAAACTGTGCCTAGCCAAAGGACCAACTGTCTTCCATAGACAACTTTTGGTAAACTGTTTATCATTCGGTTTTCACCTTCTTCTGCTGCGCCCAAGTCCCAAATTGGTTACAGATAGAGCCTTGAAAGAGTTTATGAAGAGTGGCACCCTCACCTTACAAGTTGGTTTTGTAGGAATGACTGAACGAGTTAGACCAAACTCTAATTCTAATTTTTGAATCTGTTCTTAAATAATTTTCTATTTCAATTTAATAAAATTCCCCTTTCCATGCATTACTGGTGGTCTATCAAATACTAAAATAACGAAACATACTATAAATAGTTATTGAGGCAATCTATGGAATGTATATTTTCTTCTTCAAAAGATGCAATACCTTTGAAGTGATAGATAATCGAGTAGCCATTGCAATTATGTCTTTTTTTGATGTGGTTATATCTTCAGAATCTGCAGAAGAAAATATTATATCTAGACTAAGTACAAGGGATCAAGCTTCAGTTGTGTGTATGATGTTAATGCATCCAACACTTTATAATACCTTACCTTCAGAAAGTCTACTTCGGAGAAATCTTAGTAACGCTGGTGTAGGTCCAGTGACTAATGAGCTGATGAGAAAAGGCATAAGTCAAAAACACAAAAATACTAATATTAACTGCATAAAGAACCAAACACTCTTTGTACCTTCGAAGAGTCCGCAATGGGTTTCCACTAAGCAGAAGTTTCCTCAAGCTAGTCATCTTGCCTAAACAAGATACAATACTAAGATATTTATCTCTTCATTTGTGTCAAATAATATTCATATTACTTTTAACTGTTTCATTTCATCACATAATAACATCATAACGTAAGGAATTTGAGATTCACTGTGGCTCCCTAACTAAAGGTTCGTGTATAACATATAATTGGCAAGGATGCAGAATGGTGTCCATTTACTATTTCCAGGTAACGGTGTCCATTTACTAGATGAAATAGCTAGAAATATTAACCGACAAGCCTATCACATATTGACACCTAAAGAGATCATAATATTGGTGAGGATGCCGAATGAACAACTCCCTTGACAACTGCGTGAATCTCATGCAAAAAGTTCCTCTTGAGGTGAACATTATTGTTTATACTTTGAAGAATAATTCAGGCCAAGACATATGCTGTTCTTATTAGTGCTTATTAAGAACTTTTTTGACAAGGAATGCTGAACTGCTTTAACAGTATTATTACTGAACAGTATCTTTGTAATTTTGTGAGATACTCAAATAAATTTAACGAGGGGATGCCCACTAGTTGTATTCCTGTATATTTTCTAGCAAACTCATATAGTGTTTTCATTATGCAACTATTATGTTTCCAAAATAATGCATACTAGACCTATCATAATACAAAAACTTGCTGAACTTACCCATTTCAGGAGGTAACCCACTCAGTGAATTATTTGAAAGATTCAAGACTAAAAGACTCAATTTGCATGCCTCCACGGGATACTCTTTCAGCTGTGAATATGCAAAATCAATAAACAATACAACAAATTATTTACTGTTATGGGAGAAAAGAACAAAAGCATCAGAAGCAAAAATAGGAACATATCTATAATTGCCTGTATTTTAACAAAATTCTATGTATAAGAGTTCCTTTCCTTTATAATAGAAGTAATTAGAAACTAAATAATACTCTTAGACACCTGGTTAGAGTGTAGATCTAATGTCCCAAGCCGAGAAAGTTCCCCTATTTCCACTGGTACTGTAGAAATATTATTATTCCTAAATTGAGTTTAAAGGTAAAATATTTATTAGAAATGAGTGGAAGTCATAAGTAAAAGAAAACCAAATGAATAATATGCTTTTAACAATATAAAGACTTGCATCAAAATAGGTTAGAATTTGACCCCAAATAAAACTCTGTAAGTGAATGACAACCAATGATTGATGAAGGGATTGATGAAATTCCTGCACAGACACACAAGTACAAATTCCATATCAAGATGAAAAGGGAAGAAACAAAAATGTCTGACCTTTATTTATAAAACTTGGTGTTGCCACCGGGGTTTAGCACAAGTGGTTGGTGTGCTGGGTGTGCGAGTGTTCCCGGAGTACCAAGTTTGATTCTTATTGATAAAAAAAACTCACTGTTCTGATGGAGATCAAGACGGATTAAACGTGAAAGGCCTCCAATCCCGGCTGGTATGCCATTCAGCAAATTTTTTGCTGTAATAGTGTTAACAATGAAAACAAGTTTAACTAAACAGAGGATCTACATATAAGAATGAAAGAGCTAATTGATATCTTTGAGTATTTAGAGAACAAAGGCCCTAACCGGCATTTAATTCAGTAAGCATTGTCCATGATGAAATGATATTTTCGGATATCACTGTAAGCTTGTTTCCCTGGCAAAGACAAAAAGAAAATACAATGAGACCCTGCTTTATAAAAAACAAAATTTCTCTGAGATGTTTGTCATCAATTAACATACAAAATTTTGCTACTAGTTACTACCTCCATATCTAGCTTAGACATTTTGGAACAATTTGCTAAATCTTCTGGCAAGCTTGCAATAAGATTGTTTGATCCCTGCAATAAGAGTATCAAAAAAACCTCATTTATTTGTACGTGGCCTATAGATACAGACAAACAAATAGCAGTTTCTTTAACAGAGTTCATCAGTTGAATAGCAAAGGCACGGAGAACCTACAAGGAAATTCCACAGCCCCGATTTAAAGTAAACATCATTTTCATCAATTGATTTATAATATGCATAACCTAAGAAAGGAAGGACCAAGTTGTTAACTTACATGGAAGGTTGTTTAACAATGGGGTTTCAGGGATGTAATAAATCTTTGGGGGTGATTATCAAGGTCATCCAACAGAGTAAAAAAATTTAAAAGTCGAGGGTGACAGAAAATTGTAGCTGAAATGGAAAAGATTTTTCAGTCTTTACAGCATCAGCTTATGTTCATACACGTGATGTTCGAGAAACACGTGCCATGCTTGCTTTTCTTTTTAGGAAATCCAACATATTTAGGAAGTAAACAGCAATTGAAAAAAATCCTTTTGGAACAATAAAATAATTTGCCCAACAAATTGTGGTAGTTAGTGGACTAGTAGTGTTATTACCACAAGAGAAACACCTTCCTTAATCCAACACCCAAAAAAACATATCACTCTTCTTTCTTTGAATAACAGTTTGTATACTGACATTATAACTATCCGATTGTTACCAATCAGAATGTGATGTATCATAAGCCATCCACACAACTAACATCAACACCCAACAGTTTATGCAAGACAAGACCATCACGACGTTACCTTTAAGTCCGACAAATCCAAACATCTTCCGAGTGAGCTAGGAAGTTCTTTGAGCTGATTATTTGAACAATCAAATCTAAAAGAACACATACAAATAAAGTGTAAACACATGACAACTTTCCCATATCACCAATCTACGGAAGAAAATGAATATCGGATAAAGCATACTTCACAAGTGACGCAGCTGATCCAATCTCCTCCGGTATACTAACCAACGAATTGTGCGAAACATCCAACATCTTCAACTGAGGTAGCCTGTAAAAATTAGAAACAAAAACGAAAATCCATCAGACTCCAAAATATAAATATATCATACAAAACTAACACCAGCAAAGTTCACTAGTTTTAAAATAAAAACTCACTCTCCTATGGCGGCAGGCAGTTGAGAAAGACTATTGTGGCTAAGATTCAACACAATAAGAAAACCTAAATTTCTGATATCATCCTTTAACAACTCAATACTATTGTGAGCTAAAATGAGTTTCTGAAGCTCCACAGCCTATAAAACAACAAAACACAAACGGAATTTCACATTTCATTTCACATTTTCGATCTGTTCAGATTGACTTATTCGAACTTATCAGCATTAATAGCTTATGACATTTTTCATATATGCTGCATAATAAGCTATTTATCCAAACAAGACCTTAGAATCCCAAAATTTCAAAGTTTCGCTCAAAATTCCAATACCTCAAAACTCCAATTGAATCAAACAAGAAAAAGATAAACAGGTACGGTACCTCCCACCACTTATCATCAGTTCCACCGACGCCTTCAAGATTCCGATAAACCTCATCGGGTACTTCACTGCAAGTGGAAGAAGCAACATAGCAATGCGTGAATGAGAGAAAAGAATGTATATAGAGATGAAAGGAACGAGAGTGAAGAGGTGTGTTACCTGAGGGAGCGGTTGGAGAGGTTGAGAGAACCGGAACCTCTGGCGGCTTTGAGAAGGCGGTCCATGGAAGCGGCAACGGATTTGGATCAGATCGGAGATCGAGAGGTGAGGACTGAGAAAGATTGCCGATTTGCGATCAAATTTCAAATTGTGTGATGTGATTTATGAACTAACTGACAAATTTTAAAATCATTTAATTAATGCTATAGATTGCTTAGAGTGTGTTTGGTTATGTTGTGAAAAAAATGACTTTAAGTTAATTAATCATGCAAAATTGATTTTAATTAAAATTAGGTTTTATATAAAGTGATTAATGTTTAGGTATATTTAGAACAAAAGTGAATTATATGAAAAATGTTGTTTGTGTTATGAAACAAAACAAAATAATAAAAGAGAGAAAAGAGAAGAAGAAAAAAATATTCTATGATCTATAATATAAGAAAATTAATACCTTTGAAAATCTTTTTTCTACCCTTGCATCTAAATCTTACACTTTATTAAAATAAGGGTAATTTGTGTAGCACAACACATTACATCAAGTTGATCTATAGGTTCATGAGTTTATTCTCATACCTTCTTCAACAAATCTTCATTGATATTCAAGCTTCATCATTGAAGATGTTTTAAAGTAGTATCGTGACAAAGTATATTATGATCCATCATGCCTCAAGTTGTCAAAGATAGTCCAAAGATGCAAGGGTTGATTGGAGAAGTTTTACCTAATTAGACAAGTCTTTGATTTCTTGATCACAAGTGCATATCTCCCTCAATTATAAATGCTTGGAAGTGGTTATAGTTGCCATGATTTCTCATTATCATCCTCAACAACTTATATTTACATGACAAAAGTATTTGTGCAAGAAGGTTTGTCAAAATTGAAAAGGTTTTCTAAGGCATTTTGTTGCTCTAGGAGCTAGGGTTTTGAACTTCTAAAGGCTTTATCTTGCTCATCTTTTGGTATTTTGATGGGGTCTGTGAGGTATAGCCTAAATATAGTACTGCAAGTGCACAGCCTATCGAAGTAATATATAAGATTATCGAACCACAGAGACCAATTGTCAATCTATCAACTCTATTGCTAAGGTGCTTATCTAAGGCGAACAAGAATATTGATGTGAGTGCAGTGCAACAAAGTAAATGAGCGAAGTAAATAACAGTTTAAAAGACAGGTTGGAATGTAAATCATGTAATCAGATATTGGTCCGGTCATGCGCAGATGAAACTACTTATGGGGCAGTATTTTCTATTGATAGCAAAGAATCAATTTAACGGGAACTTGTAGCTTTTGACTACTAAGAACCGAATTTACTCTTTAAATTAAATTCCTTTATTGTCACATATAAAGGGTGTCTTCCGCGTTAAAGAGGTAAACCTATTTTTAAGAAATTGATAGTTTTGACTTAATAGAAAAGTAATTTTACTTGGAAAGATTAACTTAAAGAGACTTTTGGCTTTTGACCAAGAGTCAGATTTCAAACCTACAAACGCGTCCGAAAATAGTTTCAAAATCGTTTTCTAAAAAGGTCAATGATTCCTATTTAACCAATCGACGGCTTTCGCTCTTTTCGTTTGGTTAAATAATAATCAAGTCGTATCATTAGTTTGAACGGCTTTCGATCTTACCCAATAAACATTTAAACATAATTGACTTAAGTTAAAAGCAAAACATCCCCAGAGTATTTTCACTAGCATGATAATTGGAACATGACCATGATGACAATCATTACATCCAAACCTTTATAGTTTAGCCAGACATAATAAGTGCGAGTCTATAAAACGTGTAGACTATGGTAAGAGCATTTAGAGTCTATAAAACGTGTAGACTATGGTAAGAGCAATTAGAATCTATAAAACGTGTAGACTATGGTAAGAGCAATTATAAGTAAAGAAATGCAATAAATTAGAACCTTGCTCCAGTCGGAGACTTGAATCTGATACAAATCTGCGGAATGGTAAGGCTGGTATGATAAACTTCAACCAAAGTGCTCCAAGACTCGATTACAACTCAATCTACACCGCAATAACTCCCCGATGTGAAGAGATTATTACTTTACAGAAACTGATAGTATATGGCTTAAGATTGTACTAAGCTTGGATGAAACTAAAGAATGAAAATCGAAAACTATTTATAGAGGATCCTTGAGATGCGTAAAGACCAGCATACCCCTCAACTTCTTTTGAGTGGGAAGCTTTTTGTGAAGGCCGCGGGCGCGGTGGCAGTGGCCGCGGGCGCGGTGGCTGGAACTGCCACATCATGGGAACGTGGCAGTTGGTCTCTGGGTGAAAGTGGGCCACGTCATCGCGTTCCCTGTAGCCAGCGCGGCGCTGAACGCCATAAGTGCAGAATATCTTGAAAAACCCTAATTTCTTGGCGTTTTGGCTCGTTTCTTCACAGAAGGCTCTGAAATGACAAGAATCCTGAAAACAAAGGAAAAAGGAACATAATACGAGAAAATGATAATAAAGACTAAGGAAAACATGTGATATTTGAGTCAGAAACATAGTGCGATTTAGTGCGATCAAATCCTCCCACGCTTAGACCTTTGCTTGTCCTCAAGCAACAACTCTTAGAAGTAGATGAAAGAAAATTATGGTGTATACAGGTTTTGGGCAAAGAGGGCTTCTAAGTTCGAGTAAGGGTGTGTTGTCAGGCACTAACTATCTGAATCAAGGGTATCGTAATTACACTACTCGCAGAAATGCGGACATAAACCTCATAAGTATATAGATCGATCCTAATATCCTTACTATGCTAAGACTTCTTTTTGTACGAGGTCCTTTTTCATTCAGGCGCAATCACATTAAGCCCGTTATCCGTACATACTCATGGTGTAGTGACCGGTTAGTGACTCTGATCTCAAGTGATGGGATTCTGGTACAAGAGTTGGTTTAACCCCTTTTTATTTTACCCATTTGCAGTTGCGGGGGATCGGACCGTAGTCCGCCCTACCAAGTCCAGCACCAGATACCTCTGGACCAACTACAACGGATGTGCCTTATATATATTTTTTTTCTTTGTTTTTATTAGTGCTTACAACTTTCTTGAGTTGAGTAATCTTTGTGAGGATCACCCAACTCGTAGTCGTATTCATACTTTATTTTATAAACTTTTAAGGCAAAATAGAGATCATCCACTTATATTTATCGATCCTACACTTAGAGCATGCTTAGGCCGGAGCTGACTGCTAAGATAAACTACTTGAAGACCTATTTGTACAGTTTTATTCAAAATCATAGCATATTGGGAAGAAAGGATCTAATCTAAATGTTCAAAAAGGCTTACGGTGTTAAAACGATAACGAATTTTTCAAAAAGTGAGTGCCCAAGAAATAGACCCTATCTAGGACCTGTCTCATAGCCCAAATCCTTAAAAACAACCACAATTCTTTGAAAAAGATTTTGTAAAAATTTTGTAAGGCTAAAAAGTGGGGGAAATGAAAGGGTAGAAAGACTCGCCTATCACATGCATTTTATTAACTACGAATATAACATACCTAAAAGGAAAAATGCGGAAGGGAAATAAAAGCAGGAAAAACGGGAAATAAAAGCGATAAATGCTCCTCCCACACTTAAATCAGACATTGTCCTCAATGTTCCAAAATAAGGTAGGAAGAGGTACCTGGAAACGCTAGTGGGGGCCACTAGGACCTTCACCATCCTGGTTGGTACGACCGGAACGGCGGCTACGGCTGCGACGGCGGCTCTCTCGATCCAAAACTAGCTGCTCCATTCTCTCTGTCAAGGTGGCATTTGCCGCTTGTAGCTCTTGGGTCCTACCAATGAGGGTGCCTTGGGTTGCCTCCATCAATTGGAAGTGACGAGCGTATGTGGTCTGGTTAAGGTGCTGTTGTCTCTGGAAAGCCAGCTGACTTTCCATAATAGTGCGCAGAGAGCTAGCATTTTGCTGTTGGGATGCTTGCATGAAGGCCATGTTATCGGTCGCCTGTTGCTGCAAAGTAGCAAGGAGGGTGTCCCTCTGGGCCTCTCGGGCCATATGCTCACGCCACATGTCCTCAGTGACATGGAAACTAGGAGCTGTACCTGCATGTGGGTTAGAAGTAGATGGTGTCGTGTGTGGTGGTGAAAAATGGGGTGGTTCTTCCGTTTGGAAATCGTACTCATCATCAGTGTTGTTACCCTCATTTAAAGGTAGATTTGGGGGCAACGGACCAATAAAAGCAGGAGCGTTGAGATCGTAGGTCCAGTTACGCTCAAATTTGATATCAGTACGACGGGTGCATGGAATAACAACACTGGGTACAGCGGCACCTCCAACCATGAGGAAGTAACCACCTTCCCTCCTCGTCTTGCATAAACGCATATCCCTTAAAAATTTAAGATTTGCAATACGAGGAGGAAGTGGCTCAAGGGTGGCAAGTTCTGTATCTAATCCTATGGCACGGGCAATAGTAGTAATCAGTCCACCAAAGGAAATCGGCCCACCTTTTCTTAAAACATGGTGCATGTGGGCAATCATAAATGGGACTGGATTAACTTTGGTGTCTGTGAGGCAGCTCTGCATGATAATTAATTCTTTAGCATTCACCTTGTTTGGGTTTTCCCGAGCAAAGATGGTGGATGCTAAAAGAAATCTAAAAACACGAAGGGTAGGATTGTGGATGTGAGAAGCAAGTAGGCCATCAAAAGATGTTGCATTTTGTTTAGTAATCCTGGCCCAAAATGCTTCAAATGCCCAATCCGTGTCTAAAGGTGCTTCACAAATGGCACCCTCCCCATAAGGCCATCCTAACATGGCAGCTAGACCGTCAGTGGAGTAGTTATATTCAACATTAAACATTCTAAATTTGACTCCACCTACGGTGCTAGCAGTGTTAGGAGAGCCGTTATAAATTAAAGAACTCAAAAATTCGAACGTCAGCCTAGGGTAGGTTGGTGCTTGAGTAGCAAAAATATCATGCATGCCTATTTTGTCGAGAAGGAAAAATACACTATGGTATATACCTAATGAATATAGACAGTTTTCATCGATATACCTGGTAGAGTGTATTGGTGTTGTCAGCAATTTCTCAAGCCGCTTTTGTTGTCTTTCTCCGGGTTGGCCATC